GCCATGGGGCACCCCATTCCCCTTGGACAACCCAATCCAGGCAGCGTTCCCCCCCCCCCCCCGAGTGCCACAAACTAGCTCCCTCCCCTAGAGTTGCCCCAGAACCAGACCCTCCTCTGCCCGGGCACTGCACCCCTCCCCCAGGCTGCATCTTAGGGTCCCCCAGGATGACCCCAATTGTCTTAGTATCCCTGGGTTCTATCCCAGCTCTGGGAGGGGAGTGGGGTCTAGTGGTTAGAGCGTGGGGGGCTGGGAGCCAGGACTCCTGGATTCTCCCCCCAGCTCTGGGAGGGGAGTGGGGTCTAGTGGTTAGAGCAGAGGGGCTGGGAGCCAGGACTCATGGATTCTCCCCCCAGCTCTGGGAGAGGAGTGAGGTGTAGTGGTTAGAGCAGGGGGAGCTGGGAACCAGGACTCCTGGGTTCTCTCCCCAGCTCTGGGAGGAGAGTGGGGGCTGGTGGTTAGAGCAGGGGGGGCTGGGAGCCAGGACTCCTGGGTTCTCTCCCCGGCTCTGGGAGGGGAGTGGGGTCTAGTGGTTAGAGCGGAGGGGTCTGGGAGCCAGAACTCCTGGGTTTATCCCCAGCTCTACAACAGGCAGAGATGGGAAGAGCTGCAGGCAGCCCCCCCCCCCCCACACACACACACCCAAAAAAAGTCCTTGGAGGGCAGAGAGCGAGGAGCAAAGATGCACCTGGCATCACTTTATCAGCTATTTGCTCTGGATGGTAGGGACAGCCCCAAGGACAGTGAGGTGACCTGACCGACAGCCCCCTGCTGTCTCAGCCCGGAGCTCCCTGCCCCCCAGCTCTGCCGATGCCTCTCAGTCCTGGCTCCTGGCCCCCCCTGCTCTAACCCACTAGCCCCCACTCTCCTCCCAGAGCCGGGGAGAGAACCCAGGAGTCCTGGCTCCCAACTTCCCCCTCCCCCCCGCCCCGGCTCCAACCCACTAGCCCCCACTCTGCTGCTGATCGTGGCAGGACAGTTACGATCGATAAGCCCTTTGCAGATAACGATAGTGTATGAATACATTCCCACCCTAGTTCACAGCCCGTTTGAGCTTTTCCAGCCCTTCTACCCCACACCCCTGCTTTAAGCCTCTCTGAAGGGCCTGCGGCGTCCTGGATCTGAGGGCAGGGGTCTCCCAAATCCTGCTGAGGAGGGCTATCCGACTCCCTAGTGCCAGGCCCAGATGTCTAGAGGTGACCCCTCCCTCCCCTCCCCAGCGCCAAGGGCACCGGGAGCAGAATCAGCAAAGAAATCAGACGCTGAGCTGTTCTGCTGACAGCTGGGAGCACTGAGCCCATGGCACCAGCTTGCCAGCGGCTGCAGAGGGAATATGAACCAGCAGAGATGCAGCCAGCTCTGGGGCGGGGCAGCTGGAGAACAGCCACACACAGTGCCGCAGGGGGATGGCTTGCCTGGTGCTTAGAGGCAGCCAGCTCTGGGGCAGGGCACAGCGGGAT